AGTAAAGCAGTGGTGTATTGGGCGCCGCCCTACCGAACCCCTTCAGAAAGTTGAGCCAATCGTCAACACTATTAGGTTTGTAATAATTTGGGGGCAAAACAGCGATGGCATCGAAACCCATACTTTCCACGTGTTTGGACAGATCCAGTGCCTCTTTCACACAATACGAGCTCACATTAACCACAGACACTAAGTTTGCCTGATGTTTGTCCAGCGCCTGACGCCAGGCCTTTACGATCGACAGGCGCTCGTCATTCGTGAGGTTATATCCCTCGCCATTTGTACCCAATATGTATAGACCGTCTACTTTGTTGTCCACCAAATACTTGACATATTTAGGAATTTGCGAGACATTCACTTCACTATACGATACAAATGTTGCTATAATTAGGTATGACAGGTGGTGGACATATACTTACCCATTCTTGTCGTAAGGCGTGAGTACCGGTGCCATCGCACCCCTGAATTTCAATAATCTTTCTTTTCGTGGTATTAATTTGAATAGGGAAGACATTTTTATTAACTTATATTACTTATATTATTTAACTACTTGTATGAAATATTAAGCAAGTTATAAATTCATTAAGATATCCTAGATAACTCTCTTCATTATAGTTAATTCAGTGTTATTTATAACAATTATTTACAATACAAATTTTCGTTATTATGTTTTCAGATTACATGTGTTGATCTGATAGTTACTTAACTACAGTATTAATTTAAAATGTCCTTGATACAAGTATACAGTGCACTTAAGACTTAAGTCTTAAGTTAAGGAACTAAACTTAATTGCTTAATTGCACTTAACTTATCAAATTATAATTATAAACATTAATTTAAATAACTATCAAGAGGTTTTCTATGATTAACTCTTTATTGTTTGTTAATAATTAGAGTACAATTTGGGTCCAACCCTGATATATCAGTAGTTAGATTAATGTTTTATTGTTTTATTTATGATACGGACATTAGTGCTACAAACAAGTAAGTTATTAAACCAAATGAATGATGTAATTGTTAAATATATTCTGTAATATATTCTGTACTCTCAAATATTTAATAACATTGAAAAATACAGTAGTATTTCAATCACATTTAATTGGATAAAATGGTTCATATTTTAATTATGTTTAATTAATATTTTTATTTAGTATTTAGTATTTATTTAGTATTTAGTATTTTTATTAGTATTTTTATTTAATTAGTATTTTTAATTATGTTTCATTTCATTTAAATGGCTTTTTTACTGGAAGACTTCATTTCATTAACAACATTATTTTAAGTGACACTGATTAATTTAAAAATGAAAATCTACGACAGATCTTTTAACCAAAACCCAATATAAAAGTAAATAAAAATAATGTAATACATAAAGTATTGAAATAAAAATAAATTTATAATGAATTATTAAATTGAATTGAATTAACATTAAAATCGTAAAATAATAATAATTATAATTAATAGTCTCAACCCAATTACTACTCATATTGGTAGCAAAGGGGAGGTCGTGGTGCGCCGACATTAATACCCAGGTGTTTAACATCGGCGTTGAACTGCTTCTTAGCGGACACGAAGA